GATAAAAATCTCAGTCTCTTCACCATCCATCCTGATGCTGCCAGTTGGTTCAGTGGTGAGAATCTTTGTCTTCTTGACATTGAACCTTAATCCATATCGGAGGCTGCAGTCCTTGACCCTCTGCAACAAGTGCTTCAGGTCCTCCTCACTTTCAGCAAGCAGGATTGTGTCATCTGTATAACACAGATTGTTGATAGATCTTCCACCAATCTTGAACCCACATTTATCCTCATAGAGCCCAGCCTCTTGGCTAATCTGTTCTGCATACAGGTTGAAAAGGTATGAAGACAGGACACATCCCTGGCATATGCCCTTCCCAATTTTTACCCATGCAGTGTTTCCTTGCTCTATTCTGATGACTGCCTTTTGGCCCAAGTATAAGTTTCTCATTAGCACGATCAAGTGTTCTGGGATTCCCTTTCTTCTCAAAGTCAGCCACAGTTTATTATGATCCACACAGTCAAACGCCTTTGCATAGTCAATGAAACACAGATAGACATTCCTCTGGTATTCTCTGCTTTCAGCTAAGATCCAGCAAACATAAGCTACAATATCCCTAGTATCACAACCCTTTCTAAAACCAGCCTGGACTTCTGGCAGTTCTCTGGCAGTTCTTTCATATTGTTCCAGTCATTTTTGGATAATCTTCAGCAGTAGAATCTTGCTTGCATGTGAAATCAGTGATATTGTTCTATAGTTTCCACACCCTGTTGTGTCACCCTTCTTTGGGATGGGAACAAATAGAGATCTCTTCCAGTCAGTTGGCCAAGTGGTTGATTTCCAAATTTCTTTTGCACAACTTGGTGACCACATCCAGGGCAGCATCTATTAGCTGAAATATGTCAATTGGTATACCATCTGTTCCTGGGCCTTATTTTTTGCTATTTCCTTCAAAACAGCATTGAACTTCTTCCTTTATCAACATAGGCTCTTGCTCATATGTTTGTTCATGAAATTCTTCTGTGTCTGCCAATTCCTTTTGATACAGTGACTCAGTATAATCTTTTCATCTTCTTTTAATACTTCCTGCATCATTTAATATTCTGCCTTAAGCATCCTTGATTATCGCAACTCAAGGTTTGAATTTGTTCTTCAGTTCCTTGAGCTTAAGAAATGCTGAGCAAGTTGGACTCTTGATTTTCTAACTCCAACTCCTTGCACATTTCATTGTCATATTTTACTTTGTCGTCCCGTGCTGCCTTTTGAAATCTTCTATTCAACTTTTTAGCATCTTGAATTCTTTCAACACTCTTGGCACCAGTAGTCTTTTAATTAAAAGACGTATTGCCATAGGAAAGTCTGCTGTTAGGGACCTCTCCAAAGTACTGAAGAGCAATGGTGTCTGTCTGGAGACTAAGGTGCGTCTGATACAGGCCATGGTCTTTGCTATCACTTGTTAGGCATCAGAGAGTTGGACAGTGACCAAAGAGAATAGAAGGAGAATTGATGCCTTTGAGCTGTGGTGCTGGAGAAGAGTATTGAGAGTACCATGGACTGCTAGGAAAACGAACTGGTTCATCCTGGAAAGGGTTAAACCAGTGGCTCTTTGGAGGCAAGAATTCTGAGGCTTCGTCTAACATACTTTGGACATGTTGTAAGGAGGGACTTGTCCTTGGAGAGGGACTTCATGCTTGGTAGGGTGGAAGGACAGCGCAGGAGGGGAAGACCCTCTATAAGGAGGGTTGATTCAGTGACTGGGGTAATCGGCATGGGTGTATCGGAGATGGTGCGATTTGCACAGGACAGAGCAGAGTTTAGGGCTGTTGTACATTGGGTCGCTATGAGGTGCAAGCGACTCGATGGCACATAACAACAACAACAACATGATATTAATACTGTTGTTTAATAGTTTCCATATTCAATTGAATCACCTTTATTGGGAATGGGAGTAAATATGGACAAATTTCCTGGCATAGACTTGTGAGCGCATCCAAACCTACATCTGTTAACTGAACCAAATCAGTTTGTAATCCATCAATTCCTGGTGCCTTATATTTTTGTCAATACCTTCAGTGCATCTTCTACTTCTTCCTTATTACCTTTGGTTCCTGTTCATGTTGTACTTCCTGAAAATCTTCTTTTGATGCTTTCTGGGTCGTTCAGCATATTGGTCCATTGCGTCTTTCAATATTGTGACTCAAGGCTTAAATTTCTTTTCAGTTCTGTCAGCCAAGCGAGTTCCTGCTTTTCTATTCTCCAGTTCCAGCTCTCTGCACATTCCATTATAATACTTTGCTTTGTCTACTCAAGCTGTCCTTTGAAATGTTCTGTTCAGCTCTTTTACTTCATCATGTTTTCCCTTTGTTTTGGCTTCTCAATGCTCTAGTACTATTTTCATTTTACTTGGATTCACAGTCAACACTCTTAGTACCAGCAATCAGGAAATCAGGAGACATATTGCACTGGGGAAGTCTGCAGTCAAGGATGGCTCCAAATTTTTGAGTAGCAATGACATCAGTTTGAGGAATAAGGTGAGTTTGTTTCAGGCAATGGTCTTTTTGATCACTTGTTACAGACAGTGAATAAAGAGGACGGAAGAATTTAAACCTTTGAGCTGTGGTGTTGGAGAATGGTACTGAACATCCTATGAACTACCAAAGGAACAATTATGTCTTGGAGAACGTGCAGCCAGAGTGTTCCTTGGAGGCAAAATTGATAAAGCTTCGCCTCACATACTTTGGGCATGTTGCTAAGAGAGGCTGTTCTTGGTGAGGAGGGACTTCATGCTTGGAAAGGGTCAGCAAAGGAGATGAAAACCGTCAACCAGATAGATTGACACAGTGTTGATGCAATGGGCTGTAGTATGTCACAAAGTATGAGGCACAGGATAGGACAGGATTCAGGATTCAGATCTGTTGTTAATAGGATTGCTATGGGTCATACTCAACGGCACCTAACAATGTAAATTGAAATGTGAGTTCTCTGATAGCATTGATGTTATTGGCCACCTTTGTTGTAAGCAAAACTAATTACCTATGATGTTGCAGGGTAAAATGATTTGAGTGCATATTACTCAACTCTTCTTTGTGATTGAATAAGAACTACTTCGTAGAAAATACTGCCATGGATTTCTGGGGCTGTACATCACACAGGAGGATATTGGCCATCTTTCCACTGTGAACCACTGTTGGATTTAGACTAAACAGGAACCACTAAAGAGACGTGACCTTTAGCTTAGCAGCCAGTTCCCTATGTGCTACACCAGCTGACTTTCCAGAGTTCATCTTAGATGAGTTAATTCTGTAAACAAGCAGAGGAAACCAGTGGAGCACATCATTCTGGTGCCATTTAGGAAGATACTATCAAAGTGCAATGATTGAGATAAATACCAATGACCCACTAAGGGGGCTGGAGGTACAGAATGTAAGTTTTTCAGTTACACTATATTTCTTAAAGTCAGAAATGATTATAGTTATTTTATGAAACAACTCTCTCTTTGATAGGAAAATAAAATGACGTTTGCAACAAATATGCCCTATGTGTATAGTAGTAGATGTATATTTTTCCCATCTCTTTTTTGGGAATTTGGGAGATGGGTAGATTAAATTTGAAGAAGTTTAATGTCCATTTGTAGGATACATACTATATTTGTCCCCAGCATTTTCAGATTTTCCCATCATTTAGGAGATGATCATTTTCACTCACTTTTTCTTCAATAATATTCATGGAAATCATCTTCAACAGTTTTATCTCTGTTTTCTATTGTTTTGTTAACTTTATCCTGCTGTACTTCCATTTTCCCCAAGTCTGTATTACTGATTGATTGATCATTGATTATGATATAAACTAGGATACTAATTGCTTTTTGATGGCTTGACTACTAAAAGGTCAGCAGTTTGATCCCCCAGCTGCTCCACAGGAGGAAGAGGAGATGATATGCTTCCCCAAACTTTAGAGTTTTGGAAATCCTAGAGGATGAGTCTGTTCTGTTCTAGATGCGACATCAATAGAATATATTATTAACATTAACTCTGGTAAACTTTTAAAAATACCATATTTATATATTACAATTTTATTCTGGATCTTCTTTAAAAAGCTTTTGTGGTCCACTGGTTAAACATTCAGCTGCTAACCAGAAAGTCACTGGTTTAAATCCACCAGCCTTTCCATAGGAAAAAGACACAGCTATCTGCTGCTGGTAAGGCCCACAGCCCTCGAAAACCTTCACAAGTGCAGCACTGTCCCTGAGGACTGCTCTGCAGTGAGGGTTCTGTATTTAATGGGAGAGTCTTTGGATTGTGCCTGGGCAGATTATATCTATAACTGAGCTTCATGGGTAGAACCTGGTCCTACTTGGCATTGTGAAGTCAGTTTCATGAGCTACTGTAATTCCACAAGATGATCCTCCTCCCCTCACTAGCCTGAGTCCGTCACAAGGAATCAGGAGTTTGTCCCATCACATGGCCTGCGGAAGGTGCCAGGCATTCCAGTGGCAACAAACAAGGTCTGGACGGTGTGGCTAGGTGCACACTTTCTCATTGAGGTCTTTCATTGTGAGTGCTGGTGCCTTAGTTCCCAGGTTGTCCTGCTGTTCCAGAGATGCACAGTCTCCTCCCACCTGCAAACCAAAAACCACATCAGTAAGAACAGTAGAGGAGACAGCTCTTTTTTTTTTTTTTTTTTGTCTCTCACAGAAACAGAACACAGTCACTATAAATTTTGAGGAATATTTTATATAAAATCTTAAAAAGTTAGTCTAACGGAGCTCTGGTGGCCTAGTGACAAGAAGCTGCACTGCAATCCCAGAGGAACACGGTTGGAATCCACCAGATACTCTGCTGGGGAAGGAGGGGTAATCTTCTGTACCAGTCAGATCAGATTTGACGGTACACACACACACACACAAAATAATAACATTTAAAAAAAAATGTCTAACAGAAGTAATAGATCACTCCGATTTCTCCATTAGTGGGGAGCTAATGGAAAAGAATTAATTCCATCAGCTTTTCCATGGCAGACCCTTTAATTGGAAAGCTGACTATGCAGGATGTGTTCCGTAGGTTTCCATCACATTTTTGCCCAGAGTCCGAGGGAATTATGCTCAGTCTTGGAATGTTGAGTATCACCCTGTCAAAGAGCCACACATTAAGAACATGCTGCGATTCCAACTCTCTGGTCAGGTGAGTATTGTCCTTTTTTCTGATCAGTGTGAATGTGTGAAAACCATTGTAGGACACTGATGTGAGAAATTGACCTGAAACTGCAGCATATTTTCTTCATGTACTAATTTTCACTAATTCTGCTCAATAAACTGTAATCTTAATTTTATGGGGCTGGGGTTTTTTTTTTGTTGTCCTTATTGACTGGTATGTTTGTGGAGGTCTGAATTCGGCCCTACTGTTCAGACAACTCATAAAACCTAGATTTGACAGAATATTGTAAAGTTATGTGCACACATGGGCATATGCACACATAAGAAAACCTGGACAGTACAATGTAAGATGTTTCTGATGTGCCAAAAAGATCATAAATCTATTTTTAAAAGGAAATAGTAGATTTCAAGTGGGTAGATGTTCCTTATGATTTCTTGGATTATTTCTTTCTTTTTCCTTGCCTTGTGATTTGTCTGTACAGTGTATCCAAGAAAAAAGTGAGCCGGAAAAGCCATGCAGTTCCACAGACACCCTCGTTAAGATTAATTATTCCATTAGGCCCCGAAGACAAAGTTTATCTGAAACTCCTGCACCTATACCTAGGTATGTAATTTTTGTAAATTCTTAAGAATTTTTCCTACTTCTTCAATGAGGTATAATTATATTCTGTAAAATGGGCATGAGTTACCACCAGAATCACTATAATCTAAATTTTTTTCCCCTCTTACTGTGTGATTCTCTGTTACTAACTCTCTACCTGTACCTCAGTATTCCTTCATTTCTGATTTTTATCAGCATACATTAGTTTTGCTTGTACTACATGTACTCTTTGTGCCTGACCTACCCCACTCAACATTTTTTTTATTTGTTCATGTTGAGTGTATCTGTTCCTTTGTGTTGCATCCTAGATCATTCAACATTCTGTTCATAGCGTATTGCAGCTTGAGGCTTGTATTTGTTCTTCAGTTCCTTCAGTTTAAGAAATGCCTTGCAAGTGCATCCCTTTTGATCTTCTGACTCCAATTCCTTGCACATTTCATTGTAATATTTTGCTTTGTCTTCCTGCACTGCCCTTTGAAATCTTCTGTTCAGCTCTTCTGTTCTTTATTTCCTCCCTTTGCTTCGGCTTCTTGGCACTCTATTGCACTACTGAAATTTGTTTAGCATTCTGTTATATAAACAGAGCATGAGCTAGATATCTCCTCCCTCCAGGTGACATTAGAGTAGCTTCTGGTTTGATACTTTTATGAATTAATGGAATATAAACATTATTGTGTGCATTTTTATAGATATAGGTTTTAATTGGAGTAGGTGGGGTTAAAATATTTGCCCAGGAGCAGAATTTCTGGGTCATAGGGTAAGTTTGTATTTAACTTTGAAATAAATGATGAAATAATTTTTCTGAATTGATTATACTATTTTACATTCAAATAAGGGATGTATTTAAGTATTTTACCTAATGAGTTCAGAAGCCCAGAAGTGTACATTCCAGATGCGATCTGGAGGAAGATCCATTCTCTCTCTCTCTCTCTGTCAGTTGTGGAGGAAAGTCCTTTTTTCCTTTAGTATCTACAGGCCCATCATTTCTTGAGGACCCCCATATGTCTTGGTCTTCACTTGTATTAAGGAGCTGCCTCACATAGGGATCTAAAAAGTTGCACTCCACTCCAGGTGCGTCTTTCTTGATGGTGTCAAGATGCCTCCCTCAATTTCCTGCTCTTTCATCTTATTACAGATATTTGGCTTGTCACTCCTTGGGTGATCAAAACATAGCTTCTGTAGCATATAATTGTGTGTGTGTGTGTGTATGATATATATTTATATATAAATATATGTATACACACACATAGAGGGGGGAGGGGCAGGGGACACCATTCAAACCATGATATATCAAACTAGTCTGTATATTAAACCAAGCATTTTCAAATTGGTATGCTTTAAATCATGTCTGTAGGTAGTCTTTACAATGCCTAATATAATGTAAACACAACATGTAGAACCCTTTATACTCTACATTAGCCTTTGAAAGATTGCTTTGAAAAAAAATGCTTCTTTTGTTTTTTTCTAAATACTTTTGATCCATGATTGATTGAACCTATGAGCACAGAACCAGTGGGTTCTGTGAACTGGGAGCCACCTGCATTAGAAAATAAGTTTTGGAAGAAATTAGAATTGTAAAAATTTTTTTTCTTCGCTTACACTTTATCTTTTCTGTTCATTCATTCATTTTTTGATCTTTACTGACTCAATGCTTCCGTTGGGTACTAGAGATCAAGAGCACATAAAATCAGCTTAGTCCTGACCTTCATGGAGGGACCACACCAATCAGCAAATCACACTAAAATGTTTCCTAACAAACTGGAATGGGTTCTAAGGAAATAGTGGCAGTGCTATGGGAAAAGATGAGAGGAACATCCCTTTGACATCGGGAAGAACTTCTTTGGGACTGACTATATGGAATGGAAAACTGTTACCCTAGAGGGTCTGGGCACTGAAAGAGTAGAAGAGTGCCATGCCATATGTGAGCATAGCAAGTGGGGAAGGGCTTTGAGGGAGGATAAAGAGGTAGGAGGTAGATAGAGGCAGAGTTCATACCAAGCAGGAAAGTTGTATGTCCACTAAGAATTTGAGTATTTATGTTGAGAACAATTAGAAACCATTGAGTGACAATATCAGATTTAATGTTTAGGTCACCTCATTAAAAGAAATCATTGTTTTTATGTGCTCTACAGTCTGTCATGCTCTTGTTAGGTGCAATCAACTTGATGAGGACTCATAGTGACCCTAAGAAAAACAGACCTCAACATTGCCCTTTATATGGCATCCTCACCATCTCTGATATGCTTGAACCCATTGTTAGAGTCATTGTGTCAATCTATCTGGTTGTGGATCTTCAATCTTTCACCTTTCCCAGTATGACTTTTTTTCGAAGGACTGACACTTTCTGACAGCATACCCAAAGTATGAGACAAAGTTTCACCATCCTGGCCTGCACTTCCTCCAAAGCATGCTTGTTTATTCTTTGGCGGTTTATGGGCTATTCATTACTCTTCAACATTACCACAGCTTAAACCCATCAATTAAAAGGCTATTTTTCCATTGTCAAGACTGTTTTTAGGAATAGGAAGAGAATTGGATAGATTTGAGAAATGGGAAATAAAAATAGGAAAATTTGAAAGGACCTAGTGATGAATTGGATAAAGAGATATGAACAGAAGGGATATCAAGATTGGTTCCTGGGTATCATCCTGCTGAGAAGAAATACAGGTTGAGGACTGAGTTTAAGAGAAAAGAGCAGAAGTTTAATTTTATATTTGTGAAAATGGAGATGTCTTTGAGACAATTAGAAAAAAATGAGATTATATATATATATATATATAATTCTGGTACGTTAGTCTGTAGGTGATTGAGATTGAGCTGCTAACCCAAATGCCACCCCTCCAACAGTTCTGGCCCCCAGCAGCTCCTCAGGAGAAAGATGGGCAGTCTTTTCCTGGATGATTTACAGATGATTTACGGAAAATCCACTGGAGGATCAGCTCGAGTTGGTTCCAACTCAAAAGCAATGAATTTTAAGTATATAGATTAGCTGTGCAGAGAGACTTAATGCCTATGAACTGAATTGTTTTAAAGAATACTGAATATCCATGGACTGTCAAAAGAACAAGTGTTTGGTAAGAATTGCAACCAAACTACTCCTTAGAAAGAAGATGGTGAAACTTTGTCTCATACTTTGGGCATGTTGTCACGAGGCACCAGTCCTTAGGAAAGGTATCCCCGCACTTCCCCGGCCTTGGGGTTTCCTCACACATGGTGTAATCCTCTATTTGTATCGGGCCCATCATGTCGGCCGTGAAGACTCTGAACCCCAAGGCCAAAGTGGCCCGAACCCAGGCGGCGCTGGCAGTGAACATCAGCGCGGCCCGGGGCCTCCAGGATGTGCTGAGGACCAACCTGGGGCCCAAGGGCACCATGAAGATGCTGGTTTCTGGAGCTGGAGACATCAAGCTCACTAAAGATGGCAACGTGCTGCTTCATGAAATGCAAATTCAGCACCCGACAGCCTCCTTGATAGCCAAAGTAGCGACAGCCCAGGATGACATCACTGGTGATGGGACTACTTCCAACGTTCTAATCATTGGCGAGCTGCTCAAACAGGCAGACCTCTACATTTCTGAAGGTTTGCATCCCAGAATAATAACAGAAGGATTTGAAGCAGCAAAGGAAAAGGCCCTTCAGCTTTTGGAACTAAGCAAAGAGATGGACAGAGAGTCACTCATAGACGTGGCCAGGACATCCCTACACACTAAAGTTCATGCTGAACTCTCTGATGTCTTAACAGAGGCTGTTGTTGACTCCATTTTGGCCATTAAGAAGCAAGATGAACCTATTGACCTTTTCATGGTTGAAATCATGGAGATGAAACATAAATCTGAAACTGATACAAGCTTAATCCGAGGGCTGGTTTTGGATCACGGGGCACGGCATCCTGATATGAAGAAGAGAGTAGAAGATGCATACATCCTTACCTGCAATGTGTCATTGGAGTATGAAAATACAGAAGTGAATTTTGGCTTCTTCTACAAGAGCGCAGAAGAGCGAGAAAAACTTGTAAAAGCAGAAAGGAAATTCATTGAAGATAGAGTTAAAAAAATCATAGACCTGAAAAAGAAAGTCTGTGGTGATTCAAATAAAAGATTTGTTGTTATTAATCAAAAGGGTATTGATCCCTTTTCCTTGGATGCTCTTGGAAAAGAAGGCATAGTAGCTCTGTGCAGAGCTAAGCAGAGGAATATGGAGAGACTGATGCTTGCCCATGGTGGGGTGGCTCTCAATTCTTTAGATGACCTGAATCCAGACTGCCTGGGGCACGCGGGCCTCTTCTATGAGTACACCTTGGGGGAGGAGAAGTTCACCTTCATCAAGAAATGCAACAACCCTCGTTCCATCACACTGTTGATCAAAGGACCAAATAAACACACGCTCACTCAGATCAAAGATGCCATCAGAGACGGCTTGAGGGCTGTCAAGAACGCCATCGATGATGGCTGTGTGGTCCCAGGGGCTGGTGCTGTGCAAGTGGCGATGGCAGAAGCTCTGATGAAGCATAAGCCCACTGTCAAGGGCAGGGCTCAGCTTGGTGTCCAGGCGTTTGCTGACGCACTGCTCATTATTCCCAAGATTCTTGCTCAGAATTCTGGTTTTAGCCTTCAGGAAACACTAGTCAAAATTCAAGCAGAACATTCAGAATCCGGTCAACTTGTGGGTGTTGACTTGAACACAGGTGAGCCCAAGGTAGCAGCAGAAGCAGGCTTGTGGGATAACTACTGTGTAAAGAAACAGCTGCTTCACTCCTGCACTGTGATTGCTAGCAACATCGTCCTGGTTGATGAGATCATGCGAGCTGGCATGTCTACCCTCAAAGGCTGAATCGTGCATCTGTACCAGGCTTGTCTTCTGAATTATGAAAACTAGAGTAATCTAAGACAAGAGCAATGGAATTTTTATTCAAGCTTCAAGTGGTTTTAAAGGAATTTTCTGTTCCCATGTTCAAATAGGAGGTCACTTCACCTATTTAAATTCTGAAGTCTACAGTATTTTCTAATTGCACTGGAGTGTATACACATAAAGCAAATCCTTTACCCACTCAGTCGGTTGTTTGCCTTTAGCTTCAGTGGCTGAAATGACATTCGATAAACATATTATCTACCTTGTTAATAAATACTACTTAAAAAACAAAAAAAAATAAAGGAAAGGTATCATACTAGGAGGATCAGAGACAATAAGATCCTCAACAAGATATGTTGACACAGTGACTATAACAATGGGCTCGAACATATCAGAAATGGTGTGGATAATGCAGCATAGGACAAGGTTCAGATTGATTTTTCAAAGGGTCGCTAGCTATGAGTTATAATTCATAGTTGATTTGATGGTGCCTAACATCAACAATAACAGCTCTTTTCATTTTACTACTGTGCAACTAAGTCTTTTATTTTTTTAATCAAGTAGATATATAGCCGTTGCAAAATTATTTTTTTAAGTAGTGTAACACACGAGTTAAAGCAGTGTTTCCTAGTTTGGCATATGGAAACAGTTTAAATTGCTAAGAATTTTTAAATAGTTAACTTCCAAATCTGTTTTTCAAAGCAGGAAAATTGACCTAACCCATCATGGAGTTTATGCACCAGAAGATGTATATCTGTTTCTGCCAACAAGAGTTGGGGACTCAAGGACGCTAAAAGTCAATTTGCGAAATAATTCATTCATTACCCACATGGTAGGCTGGAAATACCATTATGAATTTCATTAAAATAAGTGTATTCAAATATCAACTATATTGGTACTATAATGGTACTATTTTTCTGATAATTAGAAACTTGTTTTACAGATTCTTTTTTTTAATTATAATTAAAT